ATAAATTTAATTCAATAATATAATCAAACCAAAAACACTGAAATGTGAAATAGAGCGCCAAGTTCGCACCATCGCTGAGCTCAGTCGCAGAATCGTTTTCAGTGTCTGATGAGGAATTTCCCCCACCAATCATTATCACTCAATTCTGCAAGTGGTTCTGATTTACTATCGCTGTTCTCTAGCCGGTCTAAAACCGCGTCTGACCTAAAGGGACACTTTTTGGACGCCATGGACGTTTCTCAGTTTCCAGGCAGAAAGGGCGGTAAAAAAATGCAGGCAGGGCGCCGGACAAAGCACTCGGCACACAATGTATGTGAAATGGTTTGACACAGGAATGTTATACTATGTGATTTTAGTGGATTTAGTGAATGTCACTTTTTACAATTTTTAATTTCCCGCCAGTTCCATCCCCCGTACGTCCCGACGTCGCAGGGAACGGAACCCGGAAGACAGATGCCGGCATCGGCCGGAGGACATTACAGGGGACACTGCAGGGGGGACATCGCGGGAGCGCAGGACAAGGTAAGTGAAACAGGGAATCCCGGAGCAACGCTGCAGTGTATTCCAGAGTGTAGCTCAGGGGGGGTTACCGCTTGTTGTGCTGAAACTTTACCCCGAGCTACACTCAGGAATACCGCCGGGGGGGGGGGTTACAAAGGCACTCCAAGCAAAGCCACACAGATGATTGCTAGATGTGCCCAAGTTGCCAAAACTAGTACAGGCAAACCAGTGAACATAAACAGGTAGCAATGCCTCACAACAGTGCGGATCCAGCATTACATACAGCATATCGCCACCACAGAATTCTGTATACAATCTGCCGAATGTGAAACTCTTCCGTTGTGTAACTATATAGCCCTATCCAATGAGGTCCCCTTACCAATATTTCAGGCGGACCTGATCGGATGGTCTGTATCCCTATGGACCAGCAGGTGTAAATGGACCATTTACACCCGCTAATCTGCGGGTTGTTAAAAAAAAAAAAAAAAAAGCCGGTAATTACATTTAAAAACTGGCACGGACCTATAGTGACAGCAACTTTTTTTCACTTTTTTCTGACCTCCGGAACGGATTAATTGGTTTTCAATGCATTTACGAATTAATTTTTAATAATGACCCCGTACAGTATTTATGCCTTAAAAGACCCTTTTTTTTTAATTTGTTCAAAACTTTATAAGAACGGAACAGATTAATTGGTTTTCAGTGCATTCCTATGGGAAACCACATTTTGGTTTATGAATTTTTTGTAATAAGAAACATCCCGCAGAAAGTATTACATTCATAAACGGAGGTACACCTGCAGATAGAAAAGTACTGTATATCATATTTACTTGTTTTAAACTGACTTTTAAATCACTTCTTGGTTTTTGGCCTAGGCCAAAAATGATGTCATACATCCCAGAAATCTACATGGTAGGAGGGGCTGTCTCAGGTAATCACAACACTCCCCCCACCCCCACAGCCTGCATGTCAGATGGATTCAAGGCAGTAAATACTACATGAGTCACCTGCCCTTACTCAAGATGGCCACGGGTGTTTTTCAAAGTGATTTCTCAGCAAAATAAAGCTTTGAGACCGATGGGGGGGGGGGGGGGGGGGGGGGAACCCAAATCGTGGTGTGTGCGTGGTGCTCATATGCAGTGTACTTCTGCTTTAATCTCACCCTATGTTTATTTTTGACATGACAGTTATGTTTTGCAGTCAGCATGGGAAGCAACTAGGGGCTAGGATAGTATTTTTTTTTTTTTTTTAAAATAGAAGAAAACCTAACAATTAGCATCTTTGGAAGGGTAACGGCACGCAAAGATAAAAATTGGGATATGCCAAAGGAGGAAGAAGAGAGAAAGAAGGAAGGAGGAGAGAAAGAAGGAAGGAGGAGAGAAAGAAGGAAGGAGGAGAGAAAGAAGGAAGGAGGAGAGAAAGAAGAAAGGAGAGAGAGAAAGAAAGAAAGAAGGAGGAGGAGAAAAGAAGGAAGGAGGAGAGAAAGAAGAAAGGAGGAGAGAGAAAGAAGAAAGGAGGAGAGAAAGAAGAAAGGAGGAGAGAAAGAAGGAAGGAAGAAAGGAGGAGAGAAAGAAGGAAGAAAGAAAGGAGGAGAGAAAGAAGGAAGAAAGAAACGAGGAGAGAAAGAGAAAGAAGGAAGAAAGAAGGAGAGAAAGAGGAGAAAAGGAAGAAACGAGGAGAGAAAGAAGAAAGAAAGAAAGGAGGAGAGAAAGAAGAAAGAAAGAAAGAAAGGAGAGAAAGAAGAAAGAAAGGAGGAGAGAAAGAAGAAAGAAAGGAGGAGAGAAAGAAGAAAGAAAGGAGGAGAGAAAAGAAGAAAGAAAGGAGGAGAGAAAGAAGAAAGAAAGGAGGAGAGAAAGAAGAAAGAAAGGAGGAGAGAAAGAAGAAAGAAAGGAGGAGAGAAAGAAGAAAGAAAGGAGGAGAGAAAAGAAGAAAGGAGGGAGAGAAAGAAAGAGGAGAGAAAGAAGAAAAGAAAGGAGGAGAGAAAGAAGAAAAAGAAAGGAGGAGAGAAAGAAGAAAGAAAGGAGGAGAGAAAGAAAGAAAGAAAGGAAAGGAGAGAAAGAAGAAAGAAAGAAGAAAAAGGAGGAGAGAAAGAAGAAAGAAAGGAGGAGAGAAAGAAGAAAGCGCAGCCTGTGCCAGGAGACACCTTATGGCAGCCAGCCTTTCTCAACTAGGGTTCCTCCAGACTTGGCGAGGAGTTCCTGGAGTTGAGCTGCGGCTAGCTGACCTATCAGATGGTGCCGGCATGGTAGTGCCACTTGGCAGGACTGCAAGAACATCATTCTAGCCACCCCTGTAAGGGGGGCATTCTTCCCACCACCAATGTACGGGGCATTTTCTCAATAAATTTAGTAGGGGTTTCCCTGAGATCTGAAAATTTCTTCAAGGGTTCCTCTGGGGTAAAAAAGGTTAAAAGAATTGCTGTATATACATAATATAGGAAGGCAGCCTTTCTCAAAGTGACTATAGCTTGGCTGTTCTGTACACACACACACACGTGCAGCAGGTAAGTCACAGCACCAACTTACCATCTGAACGGATGGAACCAAGAGATCTGCCCTGGAGGTCACCATGTCAATAAAAGAGGGTTAACAGAAACCAGCCGAGAATTCTGCTTCCTCACCGCAGAACAAAAACACCATCTGGGTGTGTCTATTGGCCTTGTGCCCGGTGACTTCATACCAATGTAAATGATTAACAGCGAATGCCGAGCACCAGGAGAGAGGACACGGCTTTCCTTCACAACACATAGGCCTGTCAGTAGGTTATACAATGACAGGACAGAGATCTCCACCCACAGTCCTATGAAAAACTACAGCTCGGGCCTGGTCATATGGTCACCTGTCCAGGGACGGGATCAGCAACAAATCCTGGCTGCCAAAACAGAGCCAGGAAAACAGCGATGTAAGCCGTGTGGTGTGATCGCCCCTCTAATATGGTTTGTTTACAGACATCACTGACCACTCTACACTTGGGTTCTACAGTCAGGGAAGAATTCTGGGGTTCCTTTGGCCGAACAGGAAATTTATATATGTGTTCACATAACACATTACAAAAAAAAAAATAAAATATGTAAAGCACTGCGTAAATTGACGGCATTATACAAAGTACCTGATATATATATATATATAGCAATATTATATGTGGTGTGCAGGGTGGGAGCAATATAGCGGGCGGTGAGTGAGAAGGATCAGAAGAGAGGAGGATCAGCAGAACAGGGGGGTTACTACTAAGTGGGCGAACAGCAGAGCTAGGGGTTACTACTGAGCAGGGGGATCAATAAAGCTGGGAGTTATTATTGAGCCAGGGATCTACTGAACGAAAGTACCAAAAAGCTGGGGATCTGCTGACTAGGGGTACTACTGAGCTGGGGGACCAGGGCAGATGAAACTAGCAACGATACATGTGGGGTGCAGCATGGGAGCAATATAGCAGGTGGTGAGTGGGGACTGAAGGATCAGCAGATCTGGGGTTACTACTGAGCAGGTGATCAGCAAAGCTGGGAATTACTACTGAGTGGGAGATCAGCAGAGCTGGGGGGGGGGGGGGGGGGGTCACTACTGAGCCAGGGAGCTGCTGAACGAGGGTATGAATGAGCTGGGGATCTGCTGAGTTGGGGGGTACTACTGAGCTGGGGGACCAGGACAGAAAACAATTAGCAATATCATACGTGGTGTGCAGCATGGGAGCAATATAGCATACGGTGAGTGGGGACTGGAGAAAGGAGGATCCGCAGAGCTGGGGGTTACTACGGAGCAGGGGATCAGCAAAGCTGGAAATTACTACTGAGTGGGAGATCAGCAAAGCTGGGGTTACTACTGAGCCAGGGATCAGCTCAACGAGGATAACAAAAAGCTGGGGCTCTGCTTAGTTGGGGGTACTACTGAGCTGGGGGACCAGGGCAGAAGAAACTAGCAATGATACATGTGGTGTGCAGCATGGGAGCAATATAGCAGGTGGTGAGTGGGGACTGGAGGATCTGCAGATCTGGGGTTACTACTGAGCAGGGGATCAGCAAAGCTGGGAATTACTACTGAGTGGGAGATCAGCAGAGCTGGGGGAGTCACTACTGAGCCAGGGAGCTGCTGAATGAGGTATGAATGAGCTGGGGATCTGCTGAGTTGGGGGGGGGTACTACTGAGCTGGGGGACCAGGGCAGAAGAAAACTAGCAATATCATACATGTGTGCAGCATCGGAGCAATATAGCAGGCGGTGAGTGGGGGGGACTGGAGAGAGAAGGATCAGCAGAGCTGGGGATCTGCTGAACAAGGGTACGAATGAGCTGAGGATCTGCTGAGTGGGGGTACTACTGAGCTCCTATAACCGAAAATCACACACAGGGCATTTGCCATGCTTCATTCATTAAAGCATCACAGGAGCAACACAAACATTGGAGCAGCATGGTGAAGCGGTAGGCGCGGTTACAAGTCGAAGCAAGCGTACCCGAGCCCCAATTGTGTTCCTATACATAAACTAGTTCCCATCATTTGCTCATTTACATTCATGAAAGTATTACACACCTGGGTTTGACAGCAGAGGTTTTAGAATTCCTTTCACTAGGCAGAGGTTCTGGTTTCTTCTCCACCATATCCTCCTCAAATGGGTTCAGTGAGGTCTTCTTGCTGGTTTCTTCTGTAAGGCGCTGCCCATTGGATGCTTTGGGTTCCTCTTTCTTCGAGGGGACGGCAGTAACCTGTTCATTCTCTGCCGGTTTGGGCGTTTCCCTTTTCCCAGTAACAAACGACAACAAAGACGACTTCTTGTTTTCCGGTTTCTTATTGTCCTTCTTTTCTTCTTTTGGGACATCGGAGATCAGTGGAGGACTTTTTGATCTTGGCTCCTCAACCTGCGGTGTTTGGGTCGCCGGCTGTTCAGAAGACTTGAGGGAAGAATTAGAAGTGGAAGACGTCATCCCCTTCTCATTACCACTGGATGGGTTTACTGTCTCCTTGGATGGCTTGAAGGACAGATTCTCAGCTGAAGCATAAAGTGGACTTTTCCGGGGGATCTGGGGGGAGTTGGTCAAAGAACTGTCCTTGGAACTGTCACTTTTGGGTTCCGACTCCTCCATGTACACGTGATTTCCATTGATACACAAGTTGGATCGAGTCATTGGGTCATTCTTGGACTTCAAGCCGCTGAATATAGACAGTCCATCCTTCTTGTTTCCGGAGGTGATCTGATTCCACTGCTTGGTGTCTGCGCTGGCCGTTCTTTTGTGACTGATTATTGGAATGTGAGGAAATCGTCCTGAAATGAGAAATGAAAAAAAGGATTTTTTATATTTAATTGAACAGACTTAAAGTGGTTGTAAACCCACCATATACCCAGTGCAGATCAAAACAAATCCTCCTACATAAGTTGTACTTGTTTATCTGCAGTCTTCTCTACATGCAAAATTTATAAAGCTTGTCTGACAGTTCACAGGGGGAAAAAAAAAAAAAAAAAAAAAAAAAAAAAAAAAAAAAACGACCAGTGGTAAAATTACACTCTGCAGAGCTCCGTGAGGAGAGTTCTGAGAGCTGATTGGAGGGAACAGACACCTCCTCCACACGGCTCACAGGCTGTCAATCACAGGTTGTGTGCTGCAGCTCCCGTGTCACCATTCTTTGGGTCAGGACAAAAAACTTGTCAGATGTGATTCCTGATTGAGGAAGGAGGCAGCAGACAGAAATGACACTTAGCACTCTGGATTGAACTGACCAGACCATATATAGCTTGCTGTGCTGCAACCCTCTGAAGTACTGTCAACAGATCTGGGACTTGCTGGCTCACATGAAAGCTGAATTCCAGAAATTCAGGCACTTTGTAGAAAAGGTCATGAATACGGAGTTAAGTCCAACAGGATATGTACCACCTCCTGGACTTCATTTACATTTAACCAATATTGCAATCTCAATCTCAGAGAAGACACTAAGGAAAGAAGCACACAAACCAGCTATGCCAGCCCTACCCTTCTGCTGCACATTAACAGAAGCCTTCGTATTTTGGTAAGGACTTCTTATAATACAAAGGCTTCTGTGATTGGGCAGGAGGTGAGAAGGAGCAGACGTATCAGCTGCAGCAACTCTACACTTGAAGACCCTGAGACGACAACGTCCAGCGTTGGAGCTCTAAAAGCCATCTTCCTGGAGAATACCCTGTCAGGCATAAATTACAGAGATAAATCCAAGAGGTGGCAGACACCTCATTGGACTTAACTCATCATATGCTTGCATTTTTTTTTTTGTACAAAGTAGCTTAATTCTTGGTGTTCAGCTTTAACCACTAGCCCACCGGGCACTTCTACCCCCTTCCTGCCCACCGGGCACTTCTACCCCCTTCCTGCCCACCACTTCCCCCCTTCCTGCCCACCGGGCACTTCTACCCCCTTCCTGCCCACCGGGCACTTCTACCCCCTTCCTGCCCACAGGGCACTTCTACCCCCTTCCTGCCCACAGGGCACTTCTACCCCCTTCCTGCCCACAGGGCACTTTACCCCCTTCCTGCCAGCGCTTTCAGCGCTGTTGCACTTTGAATGACAATTGCACAGTCATGCAACACTGTACCCATATGAAATTTTTATCATTTTTTTGAGACAGATAGTGCTTTCTTTTGGTGGTATTTAATCACCTCGGGGATTTTTAGTTTAGTTTTTGTTATACAATTTTGTAAAATAAGCGATTTTTCTCCTTCACTGATGTGCGCTAATGAGGCTGCACTGATAGACACTGATGAGGAGGCACTGGTAGGTTGCACTGATGGGCACTGACAGGCATCACTGATACATGACACTGATTGGCGGCACTGACAGGCATTGATAGGTGGCACTGACGGGTGACATTGAAAGGCAGCTCAGATGGGCACTGATATGCGGCATTAATGTGGCACTGGCGGGGCCACACTGATCATCAGTGTCCTGATGATCAGTGTACATGTCCCCTCCGTGGAAAGCCGATTATCGGCTCTCCTCTCCTCTGTCAGCGTGACAGCTCGAGAGGAGAGAAATGCAGATAACCGGGATTTCCCTGTTCACATGTGATCAGCTGGGATTGGACACAGCTGATCACATGACCGAGCCGACATCTTCGGCTCTTTCCGTGATCCGCTGCGTCCGAGGGACACAGTGCACCTGCGATCGCCGCGCTGTCGCTCGCGCATGCGCAGTGAGAATGGTAGGATGTCATATGACGTCCTATCAGGACGAGAGAACCACCTTGTGCCCGTCATTGTACTATAGGGCTGGCGGGAGGTGGTGAAACGACACTTTGGTACTAAACGTGCCTTTGGGTCTTACTCTCCGTACGGTGATACTACACTAAAACTGCAAGAAGCCTCAGAAGAACTAAGCATTACCTTAACCTCAGACAGGAAAGTGTACATTTTTTTTTTTTCTTTTCCCTTTCAATCTGGTACAATATAGTCCTACTGCAGGGACATATTCTAATTTTTCCTCTATGGATACTAGTGATGCACCGAAATGAAAAATTCTGGTGCCGGAAACTGAAAATTCAAAAAATGCATTTAGCCGAAAACGCGCAGTTTTAAAAATGAATATATATTTTTGGAAAAAAAAATACACTTTGATACACCCCCCCCCCCCCCACCCCCCCCCCCCCCACACACACACACACACACAAACACCTCAAACATAATATATACCCCATTTGTTTTGTAAAGTAAGTAAGAGGATGTTACGGCGAGTAAATAGATGCCCAACACGTCACGCTTTAAAATTGGAATGGCATGAAACTGAGGTACTTAACCTCCTCCCGTCCAGCCATTGTACATAAATGGCCAGACGGTGGCAGCGGAATGGGTTTGGGTGGCTGTTTATAAACAGCCTCCCCACCCCCGGCTTGTGAGCACGCAGCACCACAATCCGGTGCCCACTGTGGAACACCGATCGTTGTACGGGACATCTGTGAGAGGTCCCAATCATGTGATCACTGATTGGCCAATCAGTGATCACATGCAGAGTAGTAAGCAAGATGTCACATGGTACAAGGCTCATTCACAACAGCCTTGTACCATGTGTACAAGCTGTGACCAATCACAGCTCACACAGCACACAGCATTTCTCAATGGCTGCAAGAATGCAGCCAGAGAGAAGGAGAAATGATTGCTTATACCGCCTTTATGGGTGTAAAAGCAATCAGTGTAAAAAAAAAAAAAAAAAAAAAAAAAGTTTTGTTTAAAAATTATAATTTTTGGTTATAAACTAATTTGGGTTATTTTTTTTTTTTTACTAAACAGATAAAAGAATACATTTTGGCCAATATTTATGATGAAATATTATTTGCAAAATTTTATAAGAAAAACCCCTTTCTAAATTTTTGGACTTTTCATTTGCATAGCAAAAAAATCCCAGCGGTGAGTAAATACCACCAAAATAAAGCTTTGTCTGTCTCAAACAAATGCTAAAAAAAATTCATATGGGTACAGTGTTGCATGACCGCGCAATTGTCATTCAAAGTGTGACAGCCCTGAAAGCTGGCCTGGATGGGGGTGAAAGTGTCCGGACTGGAAGTGGTTAAAAATCCCCATGGGTGATGGTTTAAAAATTTCTACAGGTTAGCAGTGTAAAGTTAGAGGAGTTCTAGTGTGAAAATTATTGCTCTTGATCTTTTTCGTGGCGATAAAGATGTGGGTGTGTGTGTGGGGGGGGGGGGGGGAGGACATTAAATACATTTTTTTTAATAAGTTTAATGTCTCTATGCCCAGCGCCAGGATCAATGGTTTCTCCGGTAAGACTGAACTACTGAGCGGAGGACAGGTGGATTTGAGGGGGCGGGTATTTTTTCGGCACCTCTATCAGTGCTTTTCTTCATTTTGGCTGAAAGGGGTGTTTTCAGCGGAAACATTTCGGCCACCGGAAATTTTGGTGCATCCCTAATGGATACCCAACAGATGAGGCATGACACCATCGTCAGTCAGGTATATGTAGATAGAGCCCCATTAGTCCATCAATATACCCCGAGTACTCACTCTCGGACACGGGGGATCCTGAGGCTTGCCTGAAGTCGGATGAGAAGTCACCAGGCCTCAGTACAGTTCTCTGGGAGGGGGATGGTGGAAGTGTTGGAAGGACAGACATGGACTGGGAAAGTGAGTTCTTCTTCAGTCCCGGCTTGGAGAACAAGGTCTTCAGCTTGGATTTCTTCTTCTCTGCCTCAGGCATCTCTGTGTCGCTCTCGTCGCTGTATTGGTTCATGCTGGGGACAATGGCGGACGCCGTGTCGGGCAAACCATCCTGCCGCTTTCCTTTTATCTTGTCCTTCAGCTTGCCAAAGGGTGAGCGCGATTTCTCCTTCATGGAGAGGTCAAACAAACTGGCCGTCATGTTGTTCCTGATGAACTGGACCTCCACCTCTATCTGACCGCGATCCTTCTCTTTCTTGCCTGGCTTCGATTTCAGAGGATACCATCTAGAGGACAAGAAAGGAAGAAAAGGAAATGGAATTACATGGCGCCCAAAAAGAAACACTTTAACCACTCATCTGCTGGGGCAATTACCACCCCCCCCCCCTTATTGTAAACCCCTCAAAAGATATCGAAAAGTCACAGCCCTGGAGAATAAAATGGTGGGAGTTCCAAGCTTTTGTTACACGAGCAGCCATTTACCAAATGCATATTATCAGGAAATCAAAAACTAAAATCAGTTTTAGGGAAAGCAAAAAACAAACAAACAAACATTCTATCCAACTATTTTGGTAAAATATAAGAGATGAAGTTGCGGCAATAAAATAGATTACAAAGACGACACGAACCTTCCAATTGCACATGGCTGTGTGACAAGTGTTTTGCATTTCATATTTAACACCTTCCCACCCGGCCTATAGCAGATTGACAGCTGGGCGGGACACTCGCCCTTGTGACTGGGCTTCATAGGACGTCTAGTCAAAATGATCTGCTCACATGTGTCCGTCACCGGCTCTGTCTGCTGGACACAGCCGATGACATCACTACACCGACCCAATGTCATGTGACAGCATGTCATCACAGGTCAACTGTATACAATGGACAGCTTCCTGTCATGCCATCATCCATTGTATACAATTGTCAGCTGTGACTGGTCAAGGCAATCACATGATACAGACAAAGCCAATCACAGCCCATCTGTATCATGTGATCAGCTTTGCCCAAATCACAACAAAAGACTGAAAGAATCAGTTACATTCAGTAAGGGCTCGTTCACACTAGGCTGTTTTGCCAACGCTTGCCAAACGCCCCTATAGCGTTTGGCAAGCGTTGGTCCGGTGTTTGCGGAGCGTTAACGCTCCGCAAACGCCGCATGCGCGGTTTAGCGGCGGTTGCTAGGCGTTTGCCGAGCGTTAATAACGCCCCACAAACGCCTATAATGCATTTGAGTGGTGTTACCGCTCCGCAAACGCCCCGCAACCGCGTCGCAACCGCACCGCCACGCCGGCCGGGCGTTTGCGGAGCGGCACCATAGACGAGAATAGGAGGCTTCAAAGCCTCCCGACTCGACCAGAGGCGTCCGTTTTGCCGCGACGCAAACGCTCCTGTTAGAACAGCACAATGTGCTGTAATGTGCAGAATTGGCAGAGGCGTTTGGGAAGCGGTAAAAACGCTTCCCAAACGCCTCTCTGCCGCCGGCACACAAGGCTAGTGTGAACGTAGCCTAACAATGATATACATTGGTACTAGCAATCATGTGTAAACAAAAAAAAAAAACACCCCCATGAGGATAGAGTTCTATCCTGAGCACTCGCCCAGAGTAGTTCAATGTTGCTATGGTAACATTGTATTGCTTTGGTCAGTGTGCTGCAAAATAAAGTCGTGAAAATAAAATAAAAAGCAAACATTTTGAAAAAATTAAAAAAAAAAAAAAAAAAAAAAAAAAAAGTTTTATTTTTTCCAAAGGATTGTTTGATTTTTTTTATTTTTCAGCACACTGACCAAAGCAATACAAACAAAATCCTTTGGAAAAAATAAAAAATTATTTTTAAAATAATTAATTTAATTTTTTCAAAAATGTTTCTATTTTTATACGACTATATTTCAGCACATGGTGACCAAAGCAATACAATGTTACCATAGCAACTCTGAACTACTCTGGGCAAGTGCTCAGGATATAGAACTATCATGATGGGGTTTATTTTTTTTTGCTAAACAAAACAAAAAAAAAAAAAAACACCTCACACTGTTGAAACACTTTTCTTCGTTTGGTTATAAAATTTTGCAAATAAATAACAAACATTCATAAGTTTAGGTCAAAAATGTATGCTGCTAATTTTTCTTCAATAAGTCGCAGAATACATTTTGACCTAAATTTATGAATGTTGTTTATTTGCAAAATTGTATAACAAACGAAGAAAAGTGTGTTTCAACAGTGTCATGTGTTTATTTTATTTCGCAAAAAAAAAAAAAATTATATAATAATAAATAAATAATATATATATATATTTTTATTATATTTTTTTTTTTTTGCGAAATAAAACACGACACTGTTGAAACACACTTTTCTTCAAATATATATATTTTGATTAAATATCACCAAAAGAAAGCTCTATTTGGTGTGAAAAAAAAAAAAAAAAAAAAAAAAAAAGATAAAAATCTCATATGGGTAGTGTTGCATGACCACGCAATTGTCAAAGTGTGATAGTGCTGAAAGCTGAAAATTGGCCTGGATAGGAAGGGGGTGACAGTGCCCAGTATTGAAGGGGTTAAACGGAATGTGTTTTACAAGGTGAGGGTTCACATAGACTTCATGGTAAAAATGTAAAGCCTCCTCTAATTAACGAGCTGAAGTGCTTCTATCCGTGGCGCTGAAGTGCTACCCGCGGCGCACAATCCCAGGTGCTGTATAATACAGAGCAGCCCTGACAGTATCACATTCAAACATTCCAGCCAGCAGCAGGTCTATCATTTACAGGTGACTTCAGTAACCTTCGTGCCGAAAGTGTCAACAGAAAGCCGTGTCATAGTTTCAGTGTTTGCAGAAGGCCACGCCGGGCGCTCACTCTGCAGATTCAGGTTTACCCTTCAGAAATGACAAATGAGAGGAGAGCCGTGTACAGGAGCAGGAGACGTACGGCCCCGGCACTTCTGCGTGTTCACAGACACGGTGGGCAGGTCCGGTCTACCTGACAATAGACGACAGGCGTACCTCGGTTTATGAATTTAATTCGTTCCGCGGGACTTTTCCTATCGTGAAACATTTGTAAACCAAAACGCGGTTTCCCATAGGAGTGCACTGAAAACCAAATTAGTTAATCTGTTTGAGATCAGAAAAAAAAAAAAAAAAAAAAAAAGTCTTCTGTTCAAAAAAACTTTATAAAGTGCACATTAACCTCCCTGGGGGGGTCCAACTAATCAATACTTTTGAAAGTCAGAGCGGTACATTGTTTTGCGTGGAAAGGTTTTATTTTGTAGGCCTGTAATTCTTAGGAATAACTCACTTAAATCCATCCAAAGTCTAGTAAACATCCCGGGAATGAAAGTTTGAAACATGAAATCATAAATTATAATAAATTCAATAATGTAATCAAACCAAAAACACTGAAATGTGAAATATAGCGCCAAGTTGGCCAATCGCTGAGCTCAGTCGCAGAATCGTTTTCAGTGTCTGATGAGGAATTTCCCCCACCAATCATTATCACTCAATTCTGCAAGTGGTTCTGATTTACTATCGCTGTTCTCTAGCCGGTCTAAAACCGCGTCTGACCTAAAGGGACGCTTTTTGGACGCCATGGACGTTTCTCAGTTTCCAGGCAGAAAAAAACAGAAATAAAGTTGAGTGTGAATGAGCCCCAACTCTTGCCAAATGCCCCTATGGTGTTAGACTGATTGTGAAGTGTTAACGCTCCTCAAATGCTCCCAAAACGTCCTATGCACAGTTTTGAGCTGTTTGCCAAGCGTTAAAACCGCATCAAACTTAAATGGTTTAATGCTCCGCAAACACCTGCCAGGCGTTTTCGCAGCGGCACCATAGACTTGAATGGGAGGCTTCAACTCCTTTTGTCTGAACCCGAGGCGTCAGTTTTGCAGCGACGCTAACGCTTCCGTGTGAACAGCACTGTATGCTGCCATGTGCAGAATTTTCATAGGCGTTTAGGAAGTGTTTAACGCTTCTCAAACGCCTGCTGACAAAGCTAGTGTGAATGTCGCCTAAAAGTGCAGGCAGGGCGAAGCACCCGGGACAACATTCCGGGGAAATGGTTTGGATACAGTAATCTAATACTAACAGATTACAATGTATTGTGTGATGTCAATTTTTTTAGTTTTTTAATGTCCCGCCGGTTCCGGCCCCCTGCATACCGACACCCGCAGGGAACGGGACCCAGCATTGGCCGGCGGACACAGCGGGAGGACCTCGCGGAACAAGGTAAGGCTCGAGGGATCGCTACAGTGTAATTCCGAGTGTTGCTCGGGGTTACCGCTTTTGGTACTGAAAATAACCCCGAGCCACATTCGCGGGATTGCTGCCAGGAAGATTACAAGTAGAGATGAGCGAATCGAACTTGGCGAAGTGGAATTCGTTTCGAATATTAGGAAAAATTCGATTCGCACCGAATCCGAAAATTAGCAAACTTCGGATGCACGAATCGAATTTTTCCCGATCGGCCGATTTTCATCCCTTCTACAGCCGGCAAAAAGTGTCCCTGCAGAGAGCTCCGCTATTTCTGACAGTTCTCTGACAGTTCCTTCACATTTACAGCGGTTGAAACATTGTATCTATTTGTTTCCGAATAAAAACATCTGTATCCTAAATGGAAACAAATAGATACAATGTTTCAACCGCTGTACATGTGAAGGAACTGTCAGAGAACTGTCAGAAATAGCGGAGCTCTCTGCAGATACACTTTTGCTGTACTGGAATTCTTCATCCTCATCCTTCTTCATCATCCTCATCTTCATCGTGCCCCGTGACTGCCCAAATGAGTGAAGTGTGCGGTGATTCTAAGATGGACGGCACTCATCTGCATGTCATACTGACTGACAGTATTATTTCTCTTCCCCAGCAGACTCCAAGGGCATTTAAATTAAAGGTACAGTGTTCTGCACTAATATAAAGGCTCTCTGAAGCCTAGAAACCCTTTTAATAAGTTAAATTCGAATCGAATTTATTCCGCAAATTCGGCGAATCAGCCGAATCGAATTTAATAATTCGCTCATCTCTAGTTACAAGACATAGTACTGTACAGGGACATAAAAATAAATAAATTGTAACCCGAGCCATTATTTTCATTTGTAAACTGAAAAGTACATCAACCGAGGCGTTGGTAATCCGAGGTACGTCTGTACTACTGAATTTTGGGTGACAATTACCTGTGTTAGTTTTAAAGTATTTCCAATGTCACAAGGGGCACAGCTGCCACCTAAGGCGGCATTTTACAGGGGGCTGTGTAGATTATGGAGCGTCACCTACATCCAGTATACAGCGCCATGTGCCGGCAGTGGTATGGGGACCTCCGGTCTGGTTTGCTGAAACTAAGATTTGGGCTGTTCAGCCATTCCTAGAAAGTCTCAGTATTGTATAACTACAAGGCCTCCTCTGAGGGGCCGAGGTGGACGGATGACACCACAATCTTCACCTCACCCAGAGGAAGCTTTCCATTCACAGAATGAAGGTCTGCAGTATCCCAGGACAATTACATCTTTGTATTGTGACGTGAATACATCAAAACTGACCAGGTCTGTGGTGTCAGATGGTTTGTATGAGGGTTATTTTTGGTGTGGTCATCGAGGTGCAACTTGTGGTCACGGAGGCGCGATCCCCCTGCGATTTGTGGTCACGGAGGCGCGATCCCCCTGCGATTTGTGGTCACGGAGGCGCGATCCCCCTGCGATTTGTGGTCGCGATCCCCCTGCGATTTGTGGTCACGGAGGCGCGATCCCCCTGCGATTTGTGGTCACGGAGGCGCGATCCCCCTGCGATTTGTGGTCACGGAGGCGCGATCCCCCCCCTGCGATTTGTGGTCACGGAGGCGCGATCCCCCTGCGATTTGTGGTCACTGAGGCGCGATCCCCCTGTGATTTGTGGTCACTGAGGCGCGATCCCCCTGTGATTTGTGGTCACTGAGGCGCGATCCCCCTGTGATTTGTGGTCACTGAGGCGCGATCCCCCTGTGATTTGTGGTCACTGAGGCGCGATCCCTGTGTGAGTTGCGATCCCGTGTAAATTGTGGTCATTGAGGTGCGATTTGTGATCCCCGTGTGAATTGTGGTCACCAAGGTGCGATCCGTGTGATTTGTGGTCATTGAGATTTGATCCCTGTGTGATTTGTGGTCACTGAGGTGTGATCCCCGTGTGATTTGTGGTCATTGAGATTTGATCCCCGTGTGATTTGTGGTCACTGAGGTGTGATCCCTGTGTGATTTGTGGTCACCAAGGTGTGATCCCCCTGCAACTTGTGGTCACTGAGGTGCAACTTGTAGTCATTGAGGTGCGATCCGTGTGAATTGTGGTCATCGAGGTGAGATTTGTGGTCATCGAGGTGTAACCATTTGAAAGACTTCCATAGAACAAACAAATGACCGCACGTCTGATTCAGTCCCGAAACCAGAGGAAACGGCTCACACACTTCAAAAGATATATAATGAGTGATGAAGGTGAGCCGCAGGTAACGAGTCCTATGACTGCAGAGCTCTATGAAGGCGGCACACCCAACATGACAAACACCCCAGACTAAAAATAACTCCAATCTCCGCAAAGCCCGGCCCGGATAATTGTGTGTCGGGTATGAAGAATGTCATGTTCCCCATTTTACAGCAGAGAACGTACAATCCGCTGTAATGACAGGAAGCTGTAAAGGTCTCAAAATATTTCCCTTTGTTTACCGACAATCTGCCAGCGTTGGTGTCACTCAAAATAGAACAAAGCCGGTGAGCTGTTAATTGTTTACCTACCAAACCGTGTGATTGGGCCCAACCCAGAACCTTCTGTGTGGATGAAGGTATCTGCAGCCGGGGGGCGTGGAGGACATCTCCCGCAGCCGGGGGGGCGTGGAGGACATCTCCCGCAGCCGGGGGGGCGTGGAGGACATCTCCCGCAGGGGGGGGGCGTGGAGGACATCTCCCGCAGCCGGGGGGCGTGGAGGACATCTCCCGCAGCCGGGGGGGGCGTGGAGGACATCTCCCGCAGCCGGGGGGGGCGTGGAGGACATCTCCCGCAGCCGGGGGGGCGTGGAGGACATCTCCCGCAGCCGGGGGGGGGCGTGGAGGACATCTCCCGCAGCCGGGGGGGGCGTGGAGGACATCTCCCGCAGCCGGGGGGCGTGGAGGACATCTCCCGCAGCCGGGGGGCGTGGAGGACATCTCCCGCAGCCGGGGGGGGCGTGGAGGACATCTCCCGCAGCCGGGGGGGGCGTGGAGGACATCTCCCGCAGCCGGGGGGCGTGGAGGACATCTCCCGCAGCCGGGGGGGCGTGGAGGACATCTGCAGCCGGGGGGGGCGTGGAGGACATCTCCCGCAGCCGGGGGGGGCGTCGTGGAGGACATCTCCCGCAGCCGGGGGGCGTGGAGGACATCTCCCGCAGGACCGGGGGGAGCGTGGCAGCCGGGGGGCGTGGAGGACATCTCCCGCCGGGGGGGCGTGGAGGACATCGCAGGGGGGGGGCGTGGAGGACATCTCTCTCCCGCAGCCGGGGGGGGCGTGGAGGACATCTCCCGCAGCCGGGGGTGCGTGGAGGACATCTCGCAGCCAGGGGGGGGCGTGGAGGACATCTCCCGCACCCGGGGAGCGGGGGGGGAGCGTGGAGGACATCTCCCGCAGCCGGGGCGTGGAGCGTGCACCCGGGGGTGGAGGACATCTCCTCCAAGGACATAAAGGACATCTCCTCCAATAGCCAGTCTATTGCAGACGAGATATGAAAAGTCATTTCTGCAATAAAACACACAACAATCTTCTGTGGCATGTACACTGAGCTGCACATGTGCAGGAGTGATGTCATCCCACGCCAGCCAATCAAAAACAGCAGAAGACCGGCACCTGCATCTGGGACAACCCAGGGAGGAGATGCCGGTACTGCTGAGGGACCTCACAGGCACATGTGCAGCAGAAATGACAGCATCCCACGCCAGCCAATCAAAACATCTGAAGACTGGGACCTGGAAGAACCCAGGGAGAAGATGCCGGTACTGCCGAGGGACCTCAGACATGGTGGTTGGATCTACAGTGTGAGACAGGCAAGGCCTCTTCTGCAATAAACACTTGCCTGCCCATTCCCAATTTTCTGTAGCATGTACACGAGCTGCACATGTGCAGAAGTGACATCCCATGTCAGCCAATCAAAACAGATTAAGACCGGCACCTGCACCAACCCAGGGAGAAGATGCCGGCACTGCTGAGGGACCTCATGTGCGTTCCATCGTTGGAACCAAGCATGGAGATATGCAAGGTCTCTTTGGGAATGAGCAGGTTAGTGTGCTTGTATTGCCAAAGAGACTTTGCATATCTCCATACTTGGTTCCAATGACGGAACGCACATGAGGTCCCTCAGCAGTGCCGGCATCTTCTCCTGGGTTCCTTCAAAGGGCTGGTCTTCTGCGGTTTTAATTGCCCGGTGCGTGATGACGTCACTTCAGCACATGGCACAAAAGATTGGGAATGAGCAGGTTAATGTGCTTTATTGCCAATCTTCTGTGCCATGTACACCAAGCTGTGCATGTGCTGAAGTGACGTCATCACGCACCGGGCAATCAAAACAGCAGAAGACCAGCACTTTGAAGGAACCCAGGGAGAAGATGCCGGCACTGCTGAGGGACCTCATGTGCGTTGGAACCAAGTATGGAGATATGCAAGGTCTCTTTGCCAATAAAAGCACACTAACCTGCTCATTCCCAAAGAGACCTTGCATATCTCCATGCTTGGTTCCAATGATGGAACGCACATGGGGTCCCTCGGCAGTGCCGGCATCTTCTGGGTTTTCCAGGTGCTGGTCTTCAGCTGTGTTGATTGCCTGGTGGAGGAAGGCATCACTCCTGCACACTTGCAAATTCGGTGCCTGTGAGGTCCCTCAGCTATACCGGCATTTCCTCCTTCCTGGGATGTTCCAGGTGCTGGTCTTCAGCCGCTTTTCATTGCCTGGTGCAGGATGACGTCACTTCAGCAAAAATCAGTGTACATGGCACAGATGACTGGGAATCGGCAGTTAAATCTTTACTGCAGAAAACACTTCACATGTCTCATACGTGTTTTCGTTCCAGCACTCATACACCTGTGAGGTCCCTCCAGCAGTACTGGCAGCTTCTCACTGGGGTCTTCCCGGTGCTGGCCTTAGGCCGTTTTTTGCTTGGCTAGTGCGGGATGACGTCACACCCATACATGCACAACTCAATGTACATGTCACAGTAGATTGGGAATGGGCAGGTTATTGTGCTTTCATTGCCAATCTTTTGTGCCATGTACATCAAGCTGTGCATGTGCTGAAGTGACGTCATCACGCACCGGGCAATCAAAACAGCCGAAGACCAGCACTTTGAAGGAACCCAGGGAGAAGATGCCGGTACCACCGAGGGATCTCACAACATTTAATAATTGGAAGCAAGGCAAGTAATTGAGCCTTCCATTCTGCTTTAATAAGACCTTCGCTCTGGCATGTCCCCCCCCCCCCCCCCCCAAACTGCATTATGAAAAGCCCCACTTTTTTTGGAACAGCCCAGCCCTCTGGCCACCTTTCCTGCCTAGACAAGTCTAGGTCTTGTGGCCTAATGGGATAACTAAATATATGCCAGTTGTCTGGAGGAGGAGAAGGACACGCCGCAGCCAGGAGTTGGAGCTGCCACACGTCATCATGGGCTGGCTGCCCGCTCACAAAGACGGAGGTGAACCAAGATGGCAGCATCAGACCCGAGCAGGGGGATCAATGCAGAAAAATGCTGGGGAGTATGTCAAACATTGCAGTATGCCCCATATGAGGGAGGA